GGACTACACGTCGAATCGAAGCGTTTATGCCCCGAAGTTATATGTACACTCGCCTGCGCGTGATTGTATTATCTACTTAACTGCTCTGTATATGCACGCACATGCGAGAAGCAAATAGAAAGAGAGAGAGAGAGAGTGTGAGCTTTTTCTGTCTCTATCGCTTGTGACGCCTCGAAGCAACAACGATTTATAAATAAACACACGGCATGGGTTTTTCCATGCATCGGGAGTTCGACACACGACAATTGCTCCTCGTACGCTGGGAACTTTTAAATAGTATATTTTGCACCTAAGGAGTGAAAAACTAAAAAGTCTCAGAGCACGTGTAATTCATCATCCGAGGCGTAGCCGAGGTTGATAATCACGTGCTCTGAGACTTTCTTTTTTCGCTACATAGGTGCAAATACAATTTTTTGTGAATCCCCCAGCCTAAAGTAACATTTTCATTTCGCTCAGCGGGAGTAAAATGTTACTTTAGGTTGAGGTAGCTCAAGAAAGAGATTTTATCATCTCGGCTTTAGACGCCTTGAGAATGTCTAGAGATCCTTTGATAATATCATCGACTAATATTTCCCGAATGTTCATCACTCGAACTTCAGACTGAGTCGAGGCGATATCCTTGCAAACGTGGAAAAAATAGAGTAATGGATAATTTTTGGGTCATTCCCTCCGCGAGGACACCCGGAACGTGAAGACCAATCTTACTTTTGAGTTATCCCGCACCAATTTGTTTAAATCGATTTTTTTAAACAAATAAAGACATTTTAAATATTTAAGCTTGAAACTTTTTTTTCAGATAATTTGGACCATTCTAAAGAGAAAGTTACTCTTAATAATTTTCTCTAAAATGCATACTTTTCGAGTTATAAGCGATTCAAAGTCAAAAACTCGCTAATTTTGCCATTTTCAATCGCTTATTACAACATGAAAAAATAATGTTTTCGATTTTACCAGTGCTCTTTATTAATCTTCAAACACTCTCTATCACGTCCCATAGTTTTTTCGGGATTTTTAATGATAAATCAATCTTACCCCGCAATTAATTTCACACGATTTCATGTGAAATGCGTACAGAGGGATAGGCGCGTCGTCAGCTACTGCCGTGGCACGGCAATGATGTTCGCTGGGAGATAGCTTCAACTTGATTGCGGGGTAGATTGATTTATCATTAAAAATCCCGAAAAAAACTATGGGACTTGATAGAGGGATGTTTGAAAATGGCAAAATTAGCCGTGCAAGGCTGGAAATCACGCCGAGCGACCGAGCGCTAACTAAAACTTCCCGTATTTTCCTTAGTTTTCATTAAAAGTACACTCCAAAAACTACCATACCCAATGTAAAAAGACCTCATCTTTCGATTAGAATAATAAAAAAAACAAAAAAAGTGGCGTTTTTCGAGATATTGAGCTCTGAATGTTTGATGACAATTTTCCCGGTGAAAATTATGGAAAATCTAATGTCACCATTGGAAAGCTGAGGAAATTTCCTATAGAAATAATTAGTTATTATTTTTTTTGGCGTTTTGATACATTTACAGGGCGTTAGAAATTGAGTGATTTGGCCAAAAAATGCCGTGCGGCAGAGTGCTAGGATACTTCAGGAAATTTGCCCCATATTGAAAAATTAATGGACAATGCTATTAATGTCTTATAAATATTATTTAAAGATTTTATTCCTTAAAGATTATTCAAATATTACACATACACACACACACACACAAACACACAGCGCGAGATAAAAATCATGTTCAGCCGCGGCGAATAAAGAGCCCGAGAGTCTCCATACACAATTGGCGTTATAGTGGACGCAAAGCTGCGCGCAAAAGACGAGTCGAGTGGAAAATTAAACAATTTTCCAGTATATTGAGTCGACGAAGCGTGTATGGCGGCAGCAGCAGCATAGCACATCGTAAGTGTGTATAATACACCAGACAGTACCACGACACGAGTTGCGAGTCGAGGGCGAAGCTATAAAAGCTGTGCGACGATACAACATGTAGGAGCGAAAGCGTTAAAATGTGCGCGAGCGATATAACGTACGTGTGGGCTTTATATTTATATATGTGTATAGATTCTCTAACGCATATAATGCGAGAAAAGGGAGAGTCACCGTGTATATGTGCATGTGCACAAGCCGATGGCGTTAAGCGTTAGCGTCTTTATCGTCTTAAATTCCCCCCTCGACTCCGAGACTTGTCGCGACGCCTATATGTATGCGAACGGCATTCAATATAAGCATTCAATATTTTCTACATATTTCGCACAATGTACTTATAGGCAAAGCAAATCGACAACCACTGCCATATATATATATCGACATTGTCTTGTTTATCGTTCGATGAGTCGACACTATTTGCTATTTCATTTACGTTGTCTCCTTACCGCGCGAGGTTTTTTTTTTATTTTATTTGCAATGGCATTTGAACCTGTATTACTGCAGAGGAAACGATTTTATTTCTACTCAACTCGAGACGATCGGAACGAAATACACGTTATCTATACCCAAGGCTGCTGCTGCGTGTATGCCAGTGTGCCGCGAATTACGTGCGTAAGCACCTTATGCACATGTATGTGTGTTATGTGCTTATCTCGCAGTCGAGAGACTGCTATATACATTTTATATATGAAAGGAAAACATGTGGGTCAGTCGCGAGTTTACGTTACACATATATAACAAGTACTGCACAGGTCGCCGGAGTACGACGATGTATAGGAGGAAGCCGATTAATTCGCTACATACTAGATGCTTTCGATTTTTTTTCCAGTCTATTATCGAGGGGTTTCCAGATGATAAGATCAACTGTACTCGTTCGCGGGATAAATCAATCACTCGACACACGCGATATTTTTAAATGAAAAGGATAACGTTTTGTTTCTCTCTCTCTCCCCTCGCAAGGAACGAGGAATTGATCAAAAATTGCCTCAACGAGGCCCCATCGCTCTTCTTTCGTTTAAGCTGCCTATTAAAAGTCTCGTGTAGCTGCACACGTGTGTGTGGCTGTATTTTATTATATTATACGACGTGCGATGTACGGAAATAAAGATCGGGTCTGTGTTCGAGTCGCAGCAGCAATTCCGCGAAGTTATGAATCATGGCTTAACCGTCTTTTTCGCGTCGACACGTTAATTCCTTTTTTTTTATGTATGATTATTGTTACCATTATTTATTTCTTTTTTTTTATTAACTTATTATATCTCGCAAACACGAGTGTGGCTAATCTCCTCGTTAAACGAGGCTCGAGTCACCGGTTACCGGATTCGTAAGAAAAAAATGCTGCAATTTTCGATTTTTGAACCATTGTACAGAGAAGTCGAGAACGAGTTTTTTTTATATCGCCACACACATGTGCGTGTGTGCAGTGGTGCATGTGCTGCAACACAAAGAAGAACACACGTCGTTTTAGGGCACGCACGCAAAACGGGGAGCAGCGACATTCTTCCCCGCGCGCGCGATGAAACACTTGTTTTCCCGCAAATTATCATTCTTCTCGTTTTCTGTATACTCCTTCCTTCGTGTGCACACGTACATGTACGTACATACGTACTTGGAAATAAATGTTCTTTTACTTCTCTGCACTTGCTATATACGTTTTTAACGCTTTACTTTGTGACTTTCGAGTTTTTCAATATTAACGCTTGTAACGATTGTACATGACAAATATCCGTTGCCGCTGATATCTTGTAGATTGAAAAAAAGATAACACGACGAGACGCGTCTGTTTATTTATCTCCCGCCCGGAAAAAGTATCGATTTCCACAAATTGTCAGTGATACACGTATATACTTGACGTTAGACGTGTCTTATCAATATGATAATAAAATACGTTATTTGAGAGACTGATTTAATAAGAAATCCTTTTTGAATGATACACAAGTCATTTCAGAGCAGAAATCTTGCAAGAGTTCAGCTTTATTATAGTAAAATTTAATGATCAGATTTGTTATGTCTGCTCAGCAATTTTGATTTTTATTTATTATATTGACTGATAACAAGCAAGTGACAGGATTTTTTTGGAATATTCTATTCAATATTTTGATAAGAAAGGTAACTGAGGAAGAAAAGATTTCTGTTCATCATTGTAAAAAATATTTTCACTGAGTACTATATTTTTTTTGTAATCATTTAGTAGCTGTGAACAATTTTTTAGCATGAAATTGCATCAGAGTTTCAATGCTACAAATTAATTTCCAGTAGTTATTAAATTCTACTACACAATCTTATGCGAGTGTAGAAAAAATGTTCATCCTATTTTGCTACGCATTGCACCTAAGCTTTAATTTGTGGTAATGGCATTTTCATGCTATGAAAAGTTATTCCAAACTATTTGCAAAATCAGAATCCATTATAAATTCTATTCAATGAATTTCAACTATATTAACTTAAAGGTTGTGTTATTAAACAATTAGTTACCGGAGCCATTAGCTGAGACAAAGGCATATAAGGGCATAAAAGGTGTGTAGGAACAGGTGAATGACCTTTGCAACAAGTGTAAAGAGCAAAGCTTTGAACGAGCTGGCTTGATAAACACTTGTCATAGTTGAACAAAGGATGTAGAAAAAAAGCTGCCGGATAAAAAAAAGAGAAATACGCTCCATGCATAACTGAAATTAAATTATAGCGAAGCACATAGATTAGTTCAACTACAGCATGAGTTCTAAAAATACAAAGGAGGGTTGAACGCAAATAGAAGAGCTTTTTACAAACTATTAAATAGAGACAAAGGATATGAAAAAACTAGTTTAAAAAATGGAATTCACAGCTAAATAGATGTAACTTTTTTTTAGCCATGGTTGGCAGTGAATGTGGTGTTTGCAAGCCCATAGATATGAGAGAGTGAGGGTAAAAGAGAGGGGGAGAAAGAGCAAAAGAATTGTTGCTGCTGATGATTTGGACACAAAAACACAGTAAAGAAAGAACATAGAAAAGAAAGAAAATGCGAAACAAACAAGCAGCAGCAGACAGACAGACAGACAGACACACACACACACGGAGAAACTCACCTGTCTCGATGTAGGGCACGAGAAGCAGCAGAAAAAAGACGTATTTGCAGCTGCTCTTGGGATACATCATCATGGTGACCGACTAGTCGCGGTCCTCCCCCGCGATAGGACGGACCCGCGGAGGAAGACAAGGCTCAGCGGGTCCGAATTTATCGGAGTCGGCTGCTTATAATAGCGCTGCTGCGGTTTTTCAGCTGCTGCAGCGATCCCTGTACAAGAGGGAGAGCACAACACAACACACTGACGAAGCCGCGCCTGTATACGTGTATTTGATACGGCACAGGCTTCTGTATGAAAAATTTTTTTTTCTCTAAATTCGAGTCACACACACACACACACACTGGATGACGACGATGGTGATTGATCACTCAAAAAAAAAAAAAAAAAAAAACTTGGCACAAACGGAGACAGTGATCTATATATACACGTTTTCAAAATGTATTATAACTCAGAAAACTTGGTAACACGCACACACGCACACACAAACACACTCACACACAGGAACTCGCACACGCAGCGCAGAGCTCCGAATTTTCAAAGGCCCAAAGTTGTTGCAGCTGCCCGACGTCGTCGCGGAGGATAACTACTGCTGCTGCTGCACTGCAACGCCGAATCGATTGTCAAGAACATCGAGAGAGAGAGAGAGAGACGACGATGCGTTATCACACTACTGCTCTCGGCTCTCGCAGCAGCATACACAGTCACACGCGCGCGCACAAATACAGACACATGTATATACACAACCTCTCTCTCTCTTGTCACTCTCTCACACGTATACAGTAAAATAGCGTGTATGTATGAGGCGCAGCAGTAGCACTTGAAAAAAAAAACGAGATAATTGCCCGATGACTCCACTATACACCGAGCACTGTGTTGTGTGTCGTGGCTATACGTATGATTATTATGCGTTTTGTAGCTCGACGAGGGATCGAGTGGCAACAACCGACTTGTATTACATTATCATATACGATGACGATGATTCAGGATGGCGCGGGGGCGCCTAGCTGAACGCCATCATGTCGATCACAAAACACAACACAGCACAACACAGACACAGCAGCGAATGTTGTAGTCCAGCAACTCGCAGCGGAGCAGCGACGACGACGCTGTGCTGCTTGCTTCACCTCCTCAATATTAAATGCGTGTGCGGCGGTGGCGGCTTGTTGGCACTACAGCAGCAGCAGCAGCAAGCAGCGACTTGACAACTCGCGCAGGGGCAGTTTATACGTATACACAGTACACACACACATGCACATCGCACGTATATATTATCACAGCTGACTATATGCTCTCTGCCTGTATGCCGTTGTCGTTGTCAACGTATCTACAACGACTATTCGAGTCGAGGCGGCGAGGTTACTCCGTCTCGCTGTGCGATGACACTGCAGCAGGCCGCTGTTTTTTTTTTTTTTTTGTTTATCAGATCCAAGGAGAAGAGCAGGATCACTCGTGTCTCGACGATGCGACGACGAGTGCCGCGAGTCGCGCAGCAGCAGCAACTCTCCTCTTCTCTTCGTCGACGACTAGCGGTGGCCTGCGGATGCAAGCAAGATCCATCCTTGCGAATCTGCGCGATGTCGGTACTGTGCGCGCGCGCCCCTTATATATACAGTATACAGGAGTCCTATGTACGCATGTGCCTACTCGGTCTTCTTTATATATGTTAAAAGTTATTCCTGCTGGTGGACGATCCTCGCGGCGGTAGCAGTAGCGGCAGCGGCGGCATATCTTTGTTCGCTGCGTATTAACGATGCACACGCGCGTGCGACGATCGTACAGAAGTCCTTCCCCTTTATCGTACGCTCCGAAATTTGCACTTATATATTTGGAGAAATACCTCGCGCGCGGAGCGCGAGAAAGAAATATAAGCTAGTCTATGTTTAGTCTCTCTCTCTCTCTCTCCGCGCATGCAGTCTCACGGTGCACTGCTCTGCACTGCTGCTGCACTGCACCCGTGACTGGTGAGTCGTCGTCGTCGTCGTCGTCGTCGACTCTGCTCAGTCGTGTGTGAAAAACATATATTTTTGTTCATACATATATAAATGTATACTGTATTGTATATCGAGCACGACGGGCGCGTATATAGAAGGTGGCGACTCCGCTTCGAGCGGCTGCGATCGACCGCGGCCGTGCACTGAACTAACTAACGGCGATGTTTGCGAATATATATACCTATATATTGTATCGCTGATATCAGTGCGCGACACTGCACGCGGCCCGTACATACAGTCGTGTTATCTTGCCTATACAGGGGGACTCGCTATAGAGGGGGGTGGGGGGAGTCGCGGCGCGAGGGGACTCGAATTTTCGTATAGTTCGCATATAACGGCCCTCCCGCCCCTCTCCCTCTTCTCCCGCTGCTGCTGCTGTTGTTGTTATTTGCGGAGTCTTTGCAGTTTGTCGACGGCGGAATAACACGACGGATGCTGACATCTGACGGGCGAGAGTCGAAGTATTTCGTTGCGCAGCGATTATGAAGCGACTGATGGGTTGTTGTCTTATCGGTCGAGGGGGTCCTATGATGATATAGTCCAGTGCACTTATCTGAAAAATGCCTGTTTTTGGCAAAAATTACTAACAGTAAACGGCCTACACCACCTTGTAGAGGGTGTCCGTGGGAACATCTGGACGAAAATGGCCGCGATTTGGACTTGAACTTTTTTTGTTATTAACAAAAAACCACAAAATTTGAGTGCCACTTTTGGTTTTTTTAATATATTTCGAAAACTATAGCAGCTAGAGCGATGCTCCCGAGAGAGAAAATGTAGGAAATTTAATCACCTTTCCAACGAATTTGATTACGACCCGATCGGATAAGTAGTTTCCGAGAAAAATGGAAAAAAGTGCGGAAAAACGTGGTTTTTGGCCAAATTTTCGAAAATTCATAGCTCCCTCAATTTTTGGATTTAAGAAACGAAATTTTGCACAAAGATAGTTCTTATCACGTAGAACAACTGTGCAAAACCCGAATTCTGTGCGACTTATAGTTTTCGAGTTATTCAATTTGCAATTTTTTCTTGCGAAAAATCATGTCCTCGGTTATTCGTTGAAATAATCTTTTAAAATTAACTTATCGACTTCGTTCCAACGAATTTAGAAACTTTAATGTATTACCTTTAAAACCCATACCCGACCTGTTCGATCCAACGCGAAAAAGTGTGAAAAAAAACGTTCGCAAAGTTGGCGAATTTTTGCGCAATTCCGCTCGCTCGGGCAGTCGGGCGGTCAGAGTGGGGGAACCAAGCGCCGGCGGGGAACACTGGGCAGCAGGCAACACAGCTTCCCCGCCGGCGCTTGGTTCCCCCACTCTGACCGCCCGACTGCCCGAGCGAGCGGAATTGCGCAAAAATTCGCCAACTTTGCGAACGTTTTTTTTCACACTTTTTCGCGTTGGATCGAACAGGTCGGGTATGGGTTTTAAAGGTAATACATTAAAGTTTCTAAATTCGTTGGAACGAAGTCGATAAGTTAATTTTAAAAGATTATTTCAACGAATAACCGAGGACATGATTTTTCGCAAGAAAAAATTGCAAATTGAATAACTCGAAAACTATAAGTCGCACAGAATTCGGGTTTTGCACAGTTGTTCTACGTGATAAGAACTATCTTTGTGCAAAATTTCGTTTCTTAAATCCAAAAATTGAGGGAGCTATGAATTTTCGAAAATTTGGCCAAAAACCACGTTTTTCCGCACTTTTTTCCATTTTTCTCGGAAACTACTTATCCGATCGGGTCGTAATCAAATTCGTTGGAAAGGTGATTAAATTTCCTACATTTTCTCTCTCGGGAGCATCGCTCTAGCTGCTATAGTTTTCGAAATATATTAAAAAAACCAAAAGTGGCACTCAAATTTTGTGGTTTTTTGTTAATAACAAAAAAAGTTCAAGTCCAAATCGCGGCCATTTTCGTCCAGATGTTCCCACGGACACCCTCTACAAGGTGGTGTAGGCCGTTTACTGTTAGTAATTTTTGCCAAAAAATATCTATTTGCACTGGACTAATATGCTAATTTAATAATTCATGTACCCTTTTTTACTTTCGATCGAATGTTGCGTTTTTTTGAAAGTCTCGAAGGTAGTTGCAGCAGCGACAGGAGATTTAAATTATAAATTTTCGCAATGAGATTTTTTTTATTACAAGTTGTAACATAATTGAATGAAATTTGAAAATCTTTCATTGCTCAACCATCTAAAATCCATGATTGCATGTAGCATCGAGTTAAAAGTAAACAATGGATATCGTTCTCCTTCGAAAATTGATTATTTTTTTCTAATTCGACGTTATTTTTAGATTGTTTGATAACGTAATTATTTGAGAAAGAGACAATATCATTAAAATGGTATATTCGTAGACCAGCCTTCTGAGTAAATTCATTAGATCGTACTTATCATTAACATTCGAAGTAATTGAAACATGATAATTAGACTAATTTTACTTCTGCAAGGTAAATATCGTTTTTGAAAGATGTATGTAAATTCTGAATAATATTGAATTTTCATACCAGTGATGTTTCTAACGACACGTACATAACTCTTGCACACGTTTACATAGATCATCATTTTTGCATACGTATTGAATCTTTAAAATTTCATGTAAATATGCATACAATACATGTCGAATATATCTCATAACATGAATATTTTAGAAGATTAATGGCAATTTTTGAGATGATTTTATACTTTTGACAGCTATTTTTACACGTCCACCAATTGATTTTAAAAATGAGATATCATATTGTAACAAAATTTTTCGTAACTAAAGGTGTAACATTTGATCATGAGCTTTCTGATTCCATCAACAGATGGAGTCTTGTAAAGTCGCAAGTGGCAAAATGCATCTTTGCAAAGTATAAATTTCGAAGGCTTATTACGATAGTTTGGATAATCTATTTTTTGAATACTAATTATAAAAATGTAAAGTCGATTTTTACAGCGAAAAAAATCAAGAGTATCATCTCAACATGAGGCATTAGCGATTTAATAAGGACGTTGGGGACCTTTGGGTCAAGATGGGCCACGGAGTTGAAACTTCTGGAATTGATAGTTAAAAACCCTTATAATTTTCTCCCGAAATTTCAGCTTCGTTTGTCGAGTTAAATTTTGTAAATTTTAATTTCAAAGGTACACTTTTTAACATGGCTATCATAGGACGATTTTAAGTATAACTAGTGACAAAGATGGAAGATCGTGACCAAATTTCACGTAATTAAAGATGAAGTAAGTACCTTTCAAATGGTATCGGTTATATTGTCTATATTCACGAGCATATTTTGAAGTAATTTTATAAAAATAAAAAAATTTCGCGTTTGTTCTACATGCAATCTGCCACGAGAGTTAAGCAGCAGACAAAAATACTCGTGATAGCATGCGCATTGGCTTTGAGCCTATGATACCACCGACCCGCAGTCAAATCAAGTATTTACCTTCCACTATTTCTTGATAGTTGCTGATTTGAACTCGGTTACGTCCCCAACGTCCTTAACTCTCTTTGTCATATCAGCAAGACTTTGCGTTTTGTCTCGGGCCACCCCATCTGAACTCAGTAAACGAGTAAACGATTGGCGAATAAAAAGGGCTCGTAAATGACTGGGTATGCGATAATTAGTCGGAGCCGATATTTCTAGCCACTTTCGGGAAGAGTCATCTCGCGAGGGGACATTTATCCGCAGATAGCCACATTACATATAGAAGTTTTTTCAAAAATATTTTAAGAATTTATTTGAAATGTTTTAAAGCTGAAAAAACGTTCGTATCAAATATCTCTGGAACATATATTTTTTGAACTCCGATTGGAAAACTATCGATACAAATTGAAAATTATTGATTTAGTCGATAATCCTTGTCCAGTACTCATTCTTTCTTTATTATCATCGCTGACTGAATGATTTCACATCAGTTCTTGGTAAGCGCAACGTGTTCCGTGAAATCGTAACCGATCAGCTTGAGCGCCAGATAACCGGCGGATTTCCGATTGCCCTTGTGAATCAATCCGAATCCGGCCAGAGGTATCAGCTGTTTCGTCACCACGGGCACGGTGTCGACGAAGGGCACCAGACTCTGGCCCACGTCGCTCTTCATGCCGCTCGTCGTCAAGTTCACGTATTGCACCGCTGCGAAACGAAGAAGAATTAAGAGAACAATATTTTTAAACCATTTTTCCACGCTCGTCTCTTTCGTTGTACCTCCGGACGAGTCGACCTTGTTATCTCGATAATCCGTCGGTACGGCGCGATCTTCCACCGAAAATTCCTCGTAATCGCTGTTGGGTCTGTCCTCGCCGCTGACGATCCACTTCTCCTTTCTCGGATTGATCCTGCCGCGTTTGAAGTTGTACTTGTGGCCGCGCGCCGCCAGCTTGATGAAACCGTTCTTGTAAACGAATCGGACGCCGGTCAGCGCGTAATCGTTGCCGAGCTCCACGTCGTCCAGGACGAACGATCTGTTCTCCCAGCCCAGCTGCAGATGGTCGACGCCCACGACGCTCCTCCGGGCGTCCTTGGCCGTGAACTTTTTCCTCTTCCATATTTGGCTCTCGACGTCGATCTGACCCGAGGGCAAGAGTTTGGCTACCTTTGCCTCCATGAATAATAGGCCGAGCTTCATGCGGAAGCGAAGCCCGACTATGACTCTGGCAAAGGGGAACAACGGGGAAGGCGATAACGTTGGAGAAAAATTTTAAAATCGAAAAAAAAAATGAGTCTTACTCGTTCTCTTTCGCATTGGCCCTGACCATGTGGAGATCGATGAAGTGGTCGTGAACTTTGGGCTCGTCGCAGGTGCACAGGCAAATTTCGCAATCGTATAAGTTACCATTGCGCCATTGTTTCAAAGATAACTCCCGTTCTCCGCAGTCCACCGAGCTACCGTAGAAGTTGCCGTCGGCGCTCTCCACGTACTCGTACCTCTGAGGCTGGCCAGGCTGTTGATTAAAAAAAAATTAATTTCAATCGATCGAAGTTCAACGATAAAGATTCGTTATTAATACTTCCCTCCGCGTAACAAACGTTGATCTTCTGATCGAAAGTTTCGCAATTTCTGATCCGATGCTCGCAGCCGCCACGATGGGCCGGGGTGCGAGTGACGCTGTACTCGTGACGCTCGCAGCCCCCCTTGCACTTGTCCCAGTACAAGCCACCGGCACTGGCGTCGTGAATCTGATCGAGGTTCTCCTCGCGCTCGATGTATCTCTGAAGAAATCGGCCGAACTGGATGTAATTGACACCCTCTTCGGGTTCGTCCTTGCTGCAGTCCCAAAAGGAGCGCGAGGCCGTGCTCATGGCTCGCCGAACGGCCGTCACGGCTTTGTTCAACCTTTTCACGTACGCCTGCTTGATGTCGTTGAACTCCGCGGGATTCTCGACTTGAAGAAAAAAAAAAAAAAAAGCACAAACGAAATATTATAACTTTGGCAGTTTTGAAAATTATATTAAAAGAAAAAGTTGAATCTCCACCTCCTTCCTTCTTCGAGCTCACGTCAATAGCGTACACGTCGAGGGTGATGCCCTTGATCTCGGTGGCGCAGAGGGCCAGGAAAACATTGTAAATGATGAGCTGCTGTGGACGGCCTCTCGAGCATACCAACGTGCCCAGCTGCAATAATTATATTGCAACAATGATTTTATTTTTAACTTTCGGCATTTAACCGATTGAGTCCGTGACGGACACATTTTTGATACTTTTTTAAACCGTTGTACTTTTGCTGAAAATGATGTCTAGAGAACTTGCGAGTAAGCATAATCTAAGCATAATTTAATGAACTTTCCGAATCCGGTGTTATATTTTCGATGCCACAAACAGGTCAAAAGTTATGGATGGTTTTATAAAAGAAAAACGTGATTTCGAAAAAAAAAAATTTTCTTCTTTTCAAATTTTTACATGAAAATCTTTTAACTCCTGGCGTCTTTGGTACAAATGAAGCGTTCATGGGTCCTTCTCTTAAAGTTACGATGGTTCCAATTAGTAAAATATGATTTTAAGTACAAAACAAGGCTACTGGAAAACGAAAATATACCCCAGTGGAAATTTAAAAAAAAATAAAGTACATAATAATGTTGTGAACTGTAATAAAAGGTAAAAAAGTGTAAAAAATGTAAGATTATTAACGATTTCGGACATGTGATACGTTTTTCTACACTTGTATTAGTACTTTACGATACTAGTGGCATAAGTGAGACTTTTTGGCACGGCGTATCTTACATTTTTTTACACTTTTTTACTTTTTATTACAGTTCACTACATTAATATGTACCTTATTTTAAAAAAAAATGTCCGCTGGGAATAACTTTTGACCTGTTTGTTATATCGGAAATCCGACACCGAATTCAGGAAGATTCAATGAGTTAACAATCGATCTTTACCAATTTATCGTCGGCCAGTAGATTGAAACTGCCGGGCGACCAGCGATCGGTGCCCACCAGTGCGTGCATCTCCTGCAGCAGACCCGTCACTCCGTTGTAGCCGACCGATCTGATCTGCTGTATGAGATGGTCCTTGGTCGAGGGCAGATAGTGCTTGGCGGTGCTGGAGTTGATATGTCTCTTGAAGGTCTCGAAGTAGTCGTCGATCTTCTCCTTGAACTCGAAGAACTTGTCGAGTTTCTCGGTGGTCGTTTGGTCGGCCTCGCGCCGTCTCAGTTCCTCGAACAGCTCGTCCCTGAAGTCCTGTATGTCCTCGGACATCTCCTCGAGCTTGTCGCTGATTCTGTGGAGAGCCGCGTCGGTGAACTGACTCGGACTGCTGGTGCCGGCGTCCGAGATGTCCTGGACGAAGCGAAACACGAAGTTGAACAGCTCGATGGGATTGCGGATGGAGTTGAGGAGGTCGAAGCCCGTAGAGATGATGTTGGAGACGGTGATGTCGAGGTGCGTATCCGTAGCGCCGACGACGACGGCTAGGAGACAGAAGCTAAGGTACAATTTTGGTTTCATTGTCGAAACGATACTGGTTTGAAAAAAAAGACTACGAAGTAAATTCGTGAAACTCGAGCGTGATGGCATAAAAACATTTATTGGCATGCGTCGCGGTCATTTCGTTCGTTTCGTTCGCGTCATGATAATAATCTTTTTTCTTTGTTTTAAGAACATTTTGAAATCGATACGAATATTTTTTGTAAAAAGCCTACTCAAAGCTTTTCAATTTTCATTTAAATGAATAAATATCTAAAGATACTGGTCGAAAACTGTTACGGTATGTACCATAGCTTTTCCTGCTAAATCTCTTAATTAATAATTGACAGTAGCGGCGATGCGAGTGATTATTTCAACCGTGCACATCATTTATACGCTATTTAATTATACTCGCTCATTTCGCGAGAGAAGAGTACAGTACAGTAGTGTGGCGCTCGTATAGTTATGATGGAATTATTAGCCCCGGCTTTACAACTTGTCGACAACGCCGCTCTTCATTCATTAATCATTTGTTTATGATATGTACGAAGATACGCCGATGGAAAATTGAAACGAACAGGTGCAGATTATATTGGCATTTACTTTGATGTATTTATCGACAGCGATGATTGAGAGTTCGTTTATATAGTTTTTTTTCTCGACCAATTTTTTTTTTTTTGTTTTTGAATATTAATACGAAGAGGTGTATCAAAACTGTGCGCATATTTCTGATTAAAATGGCTTTTCATTACTTTATTTTTTTGGATGGTACATTTTGAAGCGGATCAAAAATCATATTTCAGTAGATTTATACTTTTTTTGATATTTGGCAAATGAATCTGAAAATCCAATCCATTCGATTATACCCGAAACTCGCGTTTCCAATTATTTTTCTCTCTCTTTCTTTTCGAACAATACGCACGAATCGAAACACCCCATAAAAATCAATCCAAAACGCGAATATAAAAAGACGCCGGCTTTTTTGCGCCCACGAATCCAGTGCGCACACAGTGCGCGAGCTTCGAAATAATACAAGGGCCGCTCTCGAAACATAAAGCTCGGTCGAAATTACGAATACACAAAAGGTGTCCTTGATCATCGGGTACTATCATTTTTACGCGGAATACAACGACGAAGCATCGAGAAATAATTTTTCAATTTTCAACGTGCGGACGATAAAATTCAGGCCAATCGATGAACAAGGTTGATTCGTTGAATTAGTGCGTGTCGCGCGCTTGTAGTCCCTCGCTCGCTCGGCGTTGATTAATTAACAGCCGTAACGCCCGCATTACATAGGAACACACATAGAAGCTATATAGCTCGTAATACTGAAACAAAAGCTCGCCGAGTGCGGGGCTTGATGAGCGAGCCTAGGCCAAGAATCAACCTGCTTCTGCCTTCGCACTTGTATATAGGCACTGGTCAGCGCTTTAAGTATAGTTAATAGAGAGAGAGAGGGAGAAAAAAAATTAGGAGAAGAAGAAGAAGAAGGAAAAAACAATAAATACTGCATTAGCCTCGCTCGCGTATAATCGTGCGAACCGAAATTACCCATAGATAAACATCGCGTTTATGACAATGCCTAGGCGCTCTCGCAGCTATATTACAGCATTATTATTCAACCTGGCTAGTTTCAGGCTGGCTGCTGCTGCTGCTGCTGCTGCTGGGAGGGAAAAAAAAGTAGAACGCGAGAGTTGGGCGTGTGTATAGTTAAGTTAGATATCTGTAAATACGTGCGTGCGTATAAGCAGATGCATCGCGTCACCTTTTATAATGCCCGCGGCGCGGGAGAGAGAGAGAGAGAAAAATATCTCGGTCGCGACCATTGCTCGTACAGCTCGCGAAGATTAAAGTTTTTCTCTCTGCATAGTTCATGAGCGTACACGCGACTACATGGATATACGTGTGTGTGTGTGTGTGTGTCTGTATGTGCAATACTCGGCGCGCGTAAACCGCGAGCTAGCCTCTCGCGATCCTGCAATTTTCTATATAGTAGCATATCGCAGCGACGACGACGCGCACAAGTCGCTGCCGAGCTTTCGTCGCTCTCGGACGCGCACACGGCTCGCGCGACCGGTTCGATTTTTATTGCCACGTTTATACGTTCTATATCATGCTATAAGTGTGCAATGAGCATATGAATCTGAAGTATATAGTGTGTGTGTGTGCCCAGCGCAAAACAGGTGTATTATTGCAACGACGTTCGCGGTGTGATGATGCGTCAGCTTGTTTTTGCAAACAACGTCGCTTGCAGTTCGCCGGTACTGCGCGTACTCATGAAGAATCGCCTCGAGCGCGAAAAAACATCGATGACAATGGGACGATCGTCCAGTAATATATAGTACGAATTTCACGGACTATAACTGTATAGTCGCTGGACATTGGTCGGAGTGAATATATGCGAAGAGTCAAGAGCACCGTGTGCGGCAGTATATATATAGCCGATGAATCGGTAATGTATATCGCGCTGCACGCGATGCTTACTTACGTATTATATAGGCATATAGAGTAGTAGCAAATGATCGTCTCGTGCAGCAAAGGATCTCTGCGTTTGTTTATTTTTTTTTCTTATTCTACGCTTTAATTTGAATACGTCCATCGTATGGTGCATCGTGTGTGCATCGTGTGTGTGTGTGTGTGTAATAGTCCTGGGCTGCTGTGCGTGCACGCGCGCGAGTGATCGTTACGTGCCCGCCCGTCCGCATGTTGTATACAGCTGTGGAGGCAGGTAAAAAAAAAATCGAAATCGTCCGGCATATTTACGCGCGCACGGATACAATTATAACTGCGCTCCGCGCGGATCGACGCGACTGCAGTATCTGCACTGCGTGAGGCGTGTAACGCGCGTAAAAATAAAAAAAAAACGGACTCGTATTTACGGCGATGAGTAAACCAATATAACGACGCTAAATAAAAAGGCAATGACGCGACTTTGACTCTAGCTTCTCACGTGCACGCACGTCCCATATTGTATATGTCATGGTGCCACCAAGAATCTCATACATAAAGTGCAGTGATATACCGAATAAGTAATACCGATCGTGCTGTCTACTTAAAGATTGATTTTGGAATCGTATGTATATAGGAGCTCGATCGACGGCTCGAGATGTCTAATTTTATTTTCCCGGAAAAAAACCACATACTCGCTGATACACAAGCTCGAATTTAATTTTCTTTCTATTCGTCACGCGCGAGCGTACACGCGATGCTTCGCGCGCGCCGATTTATATATACACGCGTGTATAGAGCTATATCGTTGTAACTCGCTCGCGCGGAGTGCGACAATAATTGTTTTACAATTTTCCGAGCATAACAATTGTTGTACGCGCATTACGTTACATATATAAGTACTCGAGCAACACACACGCACACACATACACACACAAACGCAGATGTAATGTCACATTATAAGGTAAAGCTTTTTCGGTTAGGTAACGCGACGAAGATTCGCGATTTCTATATACGCATATAATATTGAGCTCGCGCCGCGCCGCTAAACGACTCGGCGCACGAATACACGATATTTAACATATATTAATACCACGACTTTATTATTACCGTCAGTTTTTTTTTTTTTAACTTTCCATTGCGCTCATTAGGGGAAAAAAGAAGAAGAGAAAAAAAATCATCCGCCATTCAGGACGCGACGATAAGATAAAATATTTGCGTGCGTCTCGGGGCTACAGCGCTATATATACGAGCTTGCTGCGCGCGGACCGCGTAAAAAAGATCTCCACGCTCGCGGTAAGCCATTAAACGATAGATTGCTTGGAGTTCGTCATTAGCGTATATTCATGTGTACGATATAGTTCCACAGATCGCTGAGAATCGCGCGAGGGAGAGGCAGCAGCCACTGCCGGGACCCGAACTGGGGAGATAATAAATTTTACGTATTTTCGATATCGCAATACAAAATTTCGAAGCTGGTTCACCAAAAAAAAAAACATCCGCTACTACACGTGTACACGTCTAGGGATATGCGCGTGTGCATCTTGGGCAACGATCGCCACTGGTCAGTAGTAGTAGTAGTAGTGCAGCCGCAGCTGGGAAATGATAGGACACGTCGCCGGCGGTGGTAGCGGCCGCGCGGATCGGAGCTTCGCGTGCCTGCTGGCCGTCTACGCGCTGCACGCCACGATCTTTCACGTGCTCTGCCTCGACGGACCGGCCGACGACGTGATTCGCCGTACCAACGTGCCTCGTCCGGATGCAGCAGCAGCAGCAGCAGCCGTAGTAGTGCTCGTCGTTCCTCCGAAATCTCGGCCGGAAAATGTCACGATTTTTCCGAGACAACGGCAGGTGAATATAATATGTATAATAATTACGATCGAGCGCGCGCCTTATCTCGCTCCATATAACGCGAGCCTTTTTCTAATTCTATTCTCGCGCGATCGAGTGCGCTTGTATGCACTTCACCTACATATTTCCTATCTATATAACTTGATCGTAAGCAAACATTAGATCCTCGTCATTGGGGCTATTTATTATATCTGTGTCTCTTGATTCACGCAGATATTACGGCTGAGCGAATTATTACCGAGTCGAAAAAACTCGACCGCGGACCGGCGACGCGTGACGCTGAAATGCGGCTCTCAGGACTCTTGGTTCAATTGGATCAGCAACGTGAGCATATAAGCATTGATGATATTTTCTCGATTTATAATCGAATAATCGCTGTTTTTTTTTCTTCTCGACAGTACTCGTTCATCGGCGGCATAACGTCTTCCACCTGGGCGGTCATAAGCGGATGCACGATTTTTTTGCTCACCAACTGCGATCGAGACGAGCTTCGCGATCGACGAGTAAACGACAAAGTCGACTCTCGGCTTTGAACGGAATAAATGAGCGACGATGATTCGTCGCTAATGTGCCAGTACCAGAGTATTTTTGCCAGTATATAAAACTATTTCATCGTTGCCACTAAAAGTTATTGCCTCATACTAGCGACTAATGTAATCGTTATGAATTGTTTTTATTGTTAGACGAGTGCGGATTTTATAGCCCCGAACATACGTGTGTAGATAAATAATGCAGGAGTGAAGCTGATTAGTTGAAGCAGCAAAAAAAGAAGTGCAGTTTTATTATGAATATTTGTGAAGCTTGTGAGATGTATAATGATTATTGTTTTACAAATAGTTGATAAACCTTTTTTTTTATACTTAAGAATTCAGAGAAAAGATAATTCTTTGATTTGAAGAATTGCAAAAAATATATAATGCTACAAAATAGATAAAAGGATGGATGAATGTTTCATGTGGTAACAATATAAACATTTTTAATGATTTGATTTGTAGGGATTAATTCTTTTGCATACAAAACTCCAAAATAGAATGATTGTTAGAAAAACATACGTGCAATGGTTATGATAAGCATTTGTAACACACAATTTTTCATGTAAAATTGATTCATGTAGCTTTGAATTATAATAATTATAATATAATATTTAATTATGTACACAAAAAATAGTTTTCAATAAATATTTTTTTATCGTGATTGTTGTAATGAAAATAGTAATGATTCATGAACGTCGATATTCAAATTGTGGTCACGAAAACAAGCATTTTTAAATTTAAATTTTTAAGACTGAAAAATTTCAAATACGCAAGGAACATTTCTAAAAATTAATTCGATATTTTTCCTCGTTATTAGGATGCTGTAAGTTTATAAAATTAAATTAATTGAAGCATTGACTGCTACGCTAGAGTTTGAGCGGAATGAGTAGAATTTTTGCACAATTAGTTTCATTTACTACTTGTTCATGTTTAGAGTTCTTATGAAGCTTGAATAAATACTTGAAAGAGCACAAAGACTGTCGAGCGAAAAATTCTAATGGAAAAAAAATTTGGGCTGACTTTCTTTCATTTTTTTTTCAAAATATTTTTCAATTTTAAGGAGATGACGAAAGTAGCCGAAAATCCAATTTTCAATCTCATTTTCTGAAATTTTGACTGGTTATTACTTCGAAAAACGCAATGGTGTCTCATCAAAATGAAACTTACCAAAGAAAGACTAATATTAGAAAAATATTCATTAGAAGTTTTAAAAAACTAGATTGAAAATTTTATTTTTAAGTTGGCTTCAACATCCCTTTAATGAAAAATGATTGCTTACAAAACAAAATGAAATTAGTATTTAATCTAATTCAAATATTTATATCTTTCTTAATCAAACGTACAGTTATAGCAAGATAACTATTGTCATAACATTAACAGAACGCATTCGAGGTAAGTACATTATTATATACATTCAATTCACGCTTTGCTTCACTATGTACAATAAAAATTTAATTCGTATCTCTTTTTAATTATACTTTTGTTAGCTTAATTAAGCATATCTCGAAGGTATTAAAGTATTAAAATTAGTACATTTAAAACGATTACAAAATACTTAACGTTCGGTTTCATTTTTGATTTTTGATTTTGGCTGATAACGTTCAAAAATTTTTAACTCAATAACCATCAACTTTACGAGAAAAAGTTATAGAACAAAAAGTTTTTAAAATTGATCAAACAACACGCTTGATTTTTTTCCGAATTTTTGGAACCATTTTTGGATTTTTGGAAAAGTGGTCATATCCAAAAATCCAAAAATCGCTCCGAAAATTCTGAAAAAAAATTCACACGTATTTTTTAATCAATTCTAAACACTTTTTGTTCTATAAAATTTTTTCCTCAAATCCTTCGTTTTCGAGTTAAAAATTCTAGAAGTTTTTTTTTCATTTTTTCGCGTTCGACCACCATTTTGTTTGATTAAACATTTTTTTTCGAATCGGAACCCCTCTAACTTTTAGTTTAGACATCGAGGACGCGATATTTGTACGAAAACCATGAGATTTTAAATGTTTTCCGTTTGGAAAATCAAAAAATAAAAAATATTTTTTTCAAAATCACGCTTTTTTGGATAAAATCAACCATAACTTTTGACCGGATTATTTTTTAAAAAATCTGAGCTTAGATTCTAAAAGGGCATTAAATTTTACATAAGAACAGGCTACTTGCATATTTTTTTTACCCCTTTTTCATCAAAAATACAGCGAGCGTAATGAGTGTCAAAAAAACGTCCTCTTGGGACTTAATGGGTTAAACGTCGATGAAATCTATGTATCGTTAAATTGTACCTACCTAATACTTACCTCGTTCCTGGTGTGTTTCTTATCGTTAAATTATCGTTAATTTGCCCTTATCTTAAACTTACCTCGTTCCTGGCGTGTTTCTTCGTTTGCCAATGTGCATCTTGTACATCCGTTACGATCGTTTGCATCCATTTACCAAATCCAGCCCGTTGCGAACGTGCGTATCCAAGAAACGGAGTAGCCGCTCGACACGGCCGTGTGGCTCCTTTCGAGCTTGGCACAGCTGCGTTGTATATCCCTGGACCGTTTAAGCCGTGTGCAGTGCCGTGCACGTTGCTGCGTTCGTGTTGGTGCCCATTGCACCACCCGACCCAACAAGAAAGGTCCTTTTTTGCAGCAGCAGACGAAAATTTTTCCCACTGTCGGGAAAAACAGAGGCGTTTATCGTGCAATTTTAACGAAAACAACGATCCGCGTTGGGCTTGGTGGGTTACTTGGGGTTACTTGGGTTACTTGGTTAGTATCTGAAATTGATGAAACTGATGTCTTATATTATTATATTTGAATCAAAAGTCAAATCATTTAGAGCTTTTACAGAACTTTCCACGGATGCAAATGCTATTCATACGGCACAACACATTACTATAATCTTCAGCGCCTGTGGAAAGACTGTTTTCAACATGCTACATTATTGGACCTCCCAAAATGAAATCGATTGTCACAAACAATGTTTGAGAAGCGAGTCCTCTGTAAAGCCAATAGCACAAAACTTTTTTGTAAAAAAAATATATCATTTTATTTTTATATTTTCTATTATTATAATAATTTAATACTTAGATGTTTAATACTTAGATATTAATGAAAATAAATAAATTATATAAATAAAAGACATTTTCATGTCATCTTTAATTAACTTTCGATTTATTTATACATTATCATTACAGTTCTATGTGGGTTCCATTTTATAAACATTTTATTCAGATTTTTATGATAATTAACTCAGTAATTGATAATTAATAACTGATTGATTCAGTTACCAGTCACCAGTTTAGTAATTGATAACTTAATCATTCATTTGTTAATTTATCGATAATAACTTATAAGTGAATCAACCAGTTACCTGTTATTTATCTGGTAAATAATAACTAATTGAAGCAGTTATAAGTTAATAATTGAGTAACTTTTAACTGAATTATTAGTTGTCAGTTCTTTAATTATTAACTTATAACTGAATTATTCAGTTATCAGTTAACTATAAAGTTCAATTGAATAATCAATTAACTACCTGCAACACTGATTTCAACCACTTATACCACTATCACTTTGTAAAGATTTTTAATAAAGTCGAAAAAATAATATTTTTATATTCACGATATAACTATGTAATTAATCGATGAATTTTAACGTTTTTGGTCTTAAATTGAAGTTTAACTGCCAATATTTCAAAATCTGTGCTCAAAAACTTCAATAATATACTACACCATTTCAATAGAATTAAAAAAAAAATTAAAAATTTCCAAAAAAAAAACTTAACAATTTTAATAACTTACGAAATATTAAGCGAATCGAAATAAAACTTTTTCGGGCTTCATTCTCAAAAAATGCAGTTTATTTCAATGACATTCATCGTCCCATTATTGAGAAAACTCGTTCCACATACATATATTCCGCACATACAGACACATATATACATACAGTCATCAGTTACAAATTCGATCTAGTTTATGAATATCGCCGCTGACAACGAAAACGATAGCTCAAAAATTTGCTCTGAAGATTATACTCCAGATAAACGTTATTTAGTTATTTTGCGTTGAGTTATTTTTCAAAAGCGATTGTTTTCCTAGGCAGTGGCGATATATGAGACACAATAATTGACAAAATTCCATTTTAGACCCATCACAAAGCTTCCTCTACGAGGAAGCAAAATATGCTGGATATTAAACATTTTTCATTTACGATATAATTAATGTACAAGTAAAATTCTTTTGAAGAACTCGAACTGATTTTTCTCACAAGGGGAAAATTTGATGTAAAATGTAATATTTTTAGTTTTGAATACAATTGCCATAAATAATGGTATTCTTTGAAGAATTTTGACATATTTTTTTCACTTGGAATGGTTAAAAAAGTTGAATCTTCATTTTTTCCCTTATCTTCGGTTTCATTTCATCGCAAACGGTTGCACGACGACATCTTCGCTCTGACTTTGATACAATTTTCCAATACCAACAGCTGGCGTTGCAAGGGGCTCTCGACCAGCATAACGTAACTGTAAAAACGTCGAATTATCATTCGATAATCGTAAACATGTATTGGTGAATCTAGCGCATGTAAACGCACCTTTCGACCGCATAGATTTTCGAATCGTGGCTTTATAAAACTCCAAGCTCCCATGTTTCGCGGCTCCTCTTGACTCCAAACGTAAGCTGTAAATAAAGTTATTTTAAAAACTGCTTGGTGTCGTTATTTTTTTTTCTCTCTCATTTAGGATACCAACTTTGTGCATTTTTATACTTCTGAAGCTGCTCGTTGATTTCAAGCGCTGGAAAAGGACAGAGACTCTCCACTCTGACGATAGCTGCATCTCGCAAGTTACGATCGTTTCTGTATTTGTCGAGCTCGTAATACTGTTTGCCACATGTCAATATGATTTTCGTGACATTTTCGTCGATCACTTTGTCGTCGCCTGTTTAATTTGTTAATTCGTTAATACACGATTATGAATTTTTGCTCGAAACTATAATTATACAAAAAACGAACCGATGACAGATTTAAACGTTGTGCCAGTAGATAGCTCGTCGAGAGACGACACGACCGCAGGATTTCGAAGCATCGGCGTCTTCGGTGTGATCACTATCAACGGCTTCCTGAAGCTTCTCACCATCTTATCACGAAAACAATGCGAAAATGACATAAATTGAAACATAATTTTTTCAGCCCACTCTTACCTGTCTCCTCAACAAGTGAAAATACTGCGCAGGAGTGGACGGATTGACCACGTGCATATTCACATCGTCACCGTCGACTCCGTCCTCTCGGCTATCCGTCAACTGCAAAAATCGCTCGAGTCTGCCGGAACTGTGCTCGGGGCCGGGCCCGTCGTAGCCGTGCGGCAGCAGAATCACCAGGCCGCTGCTCTGGCGCCACTTGGTCTCGCCGGCGCTCACGTACGTGTCTATCATCGACTGGGCGCCGTTGTAGAAGTCGCCGAACTGCGCCTCCCAGATGGTCAGACAGTCGGGCAGGGTGACGCTCACGCCGTACTCGTAGGCCAGCACGGCCTCCTCGGACAGGACGCTGTTGGCCACCTCGATCTTGCCCACTCGCTCGTCGCCCGACATGGCGTTGAGAGGCACGTAAGTCTCGCCCGTGGACTGATCGACGAACGTGGCGTGTCTCTGGGCGAAGGTACCCCGCGCCACGTCTTGACCGCCGAGCCTCACGCCGTAGCCCTGATGCAGAAGACTGCCGAACGCCATGGCCTCGGCCGTCGTCCAATCCAGCCCCCTGCCCTCCTCGACTTTTTTCAGTCTGGCTTCGATGTGCTTCTTCTTTAATGTAGGATGAATACCGAACGTTTCGGGATACTCGACGCTCTTTTTACCGATGTACCTCAAGAGATCGAGATCGATGCCCGTGTCCCAAGTGGTCACGGATGCACCAGCCTGTTTGATCTTCGACCATCGTCCCCGAAACGAGGTGTCTTCCGGCACGTAATCGTCGGCGCGTTTCAAAGCCTCGTTCAGCCTCGACGTGTATTCTCGCACCATTTCCGTAGCTTCCTCGTCGCTCAAAACTTTACTCTCGATCAGTCGTTCTACGTAGCGATCCGGGATCGATCTGTGGAAAAAAAACGTTGCCATTGTACATTGCTCTCGGCAAAAAATCCGATCTCACCCACGGTCTGTTATTTATGATCGTATTGTAAACGAGTGGATTGGTGTAGGTCGGATCGTCTGGCTCGGTGTGTCCCCAGCGCCGGAAGCAGTTGAGATCGACGAACACGTCTTTGCGGAATTTTCTCTGATAATTGAAGGCGATCCTCGTGGCTTTGACGACCATCTGCTCACGACAGACGACAACAAATACAATATTACGTATTCCCCCCCNTGAGTAAGTTCCTATACAAGTTATTCAGAAGAACTTTTATGAAATCTTATGAAAGATCTTACGCATGATATAATTGTCAGTAAAAATTCTTACGTAAGTTCAATCCTATGTACGGGCGTTCTCGCTCTCTGTAGGTCCTTTTCTGTATACTTTTTGTACTGAGAAGGAGTAATTGGCAAATATATTATTATTATTATAGTTCATACGTAAGTACCGTTTCATTTTGAAAGTCCTAGAAATGTTAGATAGCTTGAGTAAAAGTTCATGTGAGATCTTACTGGAGATCTTACTTTTGATTGTCGATAATTTAAGAAGTTCTCACGTAAAAACTTACTTTCATATTTAGGGCTTTTGAGTTGAAAAAATCTTGTCTTGAAATGACGTAAGAACTCGATAAACATACGTAAGATCTTACATAAGATTTCGTGCAAGTTCTTCGCACAATTTTAATTAATCATGCCCCGTGAGAAAGTTGAGGCGGCCGCGGTGGGCCATGCAGAGAACCAGCTCGCGGAGAGAGCTCGTGGCGGCCGAGCTGAGCTCGAACAGCTCGTGAAAGAAGGCCATCGTGCTCTCGGCACCCTCGGCGCCGAAGCGTATGTCCTTTCCGAAGTGGCGAGCGAGGAAGCGATCGAACGCCTGGCTCTTGAGCATCTCTCGGGCTATGGCGCGCTTGGTCTCGTCGGCGATCGGCTCGCGATGGATGGCTTCGTAATTACGAGCGAACCACTCGCGCTCCTCCTCCGTCTGCGGCGCATTGTAATAACGTTGATTCGGGACTGCGAGGAGATGCAGTCTTATTATAGTCGAGCGGTTGAGTTACCTCGAGGTAGCTGAACTCGGCCGACATGGTGCCGCAGTAGAGGCTCCGCAAGATGTCCAAGGCCTCGGCGTGGCTGCTCGATTCTGCATTCTCGGCGCCCAGTAAACCTCGCAACGTGACGCGCTCGCTTTCTACCAGTCCGTATCTTGAGGCGTCGAGTTCGGCCACGGGAGCTAGTTTCGATAGTCGTATCGGATCTATGTCAGCCTGCTTGTGGCCAAATTCTCGATAAGCTTTGATAAGCTGGTAGAAATTTATATTTTTCGCGCGTAACTCCAGGTCGCTCTTTGCCACTGAAAGAATAACATCGCGTTATTTATTTTTCGCCCCATCGTCGAACAAAAAAAAAAAAAATGAATGTACTTGCCTTGATAATCTCGTGGCTGTCGCTCTCTGTGGCCGTAGACAGCACCCGCGGCAGCACCACGATAGAACCTCCGCTGTAACTTATCACTCGTGCACAGGATCAGTCGACCTGCGGAGCAACCGCTCGAAGCGACTCTCGAGTTTCGATACATCTCTCGTGGCGCCGGCGTCCGACTGCTCACTAAAATACAGATACATATATTCTCTCTGAGAAGAGGCGCGATCTGCCTTATCTCTGTGTCCGTACCTCACCTGACCGAGCAAATCTATTTTCATATACCGCGATTATTACGTAATTGCATTATCGAAATTAGCCATTCTCGCGCGTGTGTATACTGTATATATGCGTGCAGTGACGCAGCTCGATCGTCTACCGCATACGTGACGATTCGAAGCGCGAGAGTCACGCCTCCTTGCGATTGCGCAATTTTTACGATACAAAAGTAATTCATTAAAATATTTAAACATCGAAGCGATCGCCAGAAGTTTGTTTCGTATTTTTTATCTCAACGCGGCTCTTTACATTTTTTAACGTAATTTTGAAGGGCTACAAAGATTTTTACACACATTTACACTAAGAATCCTGAATCTCAGAAAGTGGCATGTAAAGAAAATCGCTTATTGTCTTAAAAATCAAATATGATCAAAGTTGTATTGATAAAAAGATTTTATTCGCTTCATCACAAATCAACAGAGAAAAGATTACTCAAATATTTACTTTACGAATCATTTTGTCATCATGATCATGGACTTTATTACATTTTTTTCAGATATCATGTTTACTTGTCAAATTGTCACGAAATAAATTGACGAGGGTAGTAGATATTTTACAAATAAATGCGGTCATGAAAATCTTCTTATCTTGAATTGCAAGGGGAAGTTGTTTACAAGCAATCAAGAGGCATTTTTTTCTCCGCAGTTTTTTTCAGAGAGATTTTCTTGTCTTTTGTAGAAGGATATTTTCTTAACTGCACACTCTTCATAGGGACGGTCGATTAGTTTGTTCTACATGTCGTCCAATTTTCTTATCTGCGTCAATAGAAAAACTCGTGCTGACGTACATAAATGAAAAATTATGATGTCATCCATGTAATAATTTTGCAGTAAGTGTAAATAAAAATTTTCTCACGAAGTAAAAGTGCATTAAAACTAGTCTACCTAGCAACGTTTCTCTCTGTATTCGAAGAAAACTTCGAAAAACAAGTGTCTTGAAAATTTCTAGCCATAATTTAAATTTTTTCTTCGTAATAAATTCTATATTTCAAAATGAAAACTGTTCAAATTTGGTACATCGTCATTTTAATTTTTTGCACAGCAGGATTATCATTGCAATTAAAGCCAACCAGAGTCAGTATACATTAAATACTAATTGAGCTTTCATATCTGAACTAGAATTTAAAAATTGGCTGCGTGATTTATTATTCCTGTAGCGTAAACCTACAGTAAAAACTTCTGGTGGAAGTGGGCATCCAGGACCCTCAGGGAATCCCGGGCATGCAGTGAAACCGGTGCATCCACCGAACCCCGGGAATCCAGCGAAACCAGTGCACCCGCCGAACCCGGGGCATCCAGGAAAACCAGTGCATCCACCAGGCCAATCAGGGCATCAATCTACATGCGCGAAAAAGGAAAAATGCACGATCGACGTTAGATACATGAAACCCGAGCACGCCCTCATCGTCGATCCATCGGACCACAACAAACTCGTTTATCCGGCGCGGAATGGAAAAATCGTCATCGATCAAGGACATCAGATTTATCTGGTATGCTCTGGAGCCCAGAACAAATTTGTAAAACTCACTGGGCAGTACCACAAGTTTACCTGCGAGTGCGGATCTACGTTCAAGTCTACTGCGCCGAACGTAGAGTACGATTTTGAAGATTTAACGTGCTCGAGTATTCCCGAAGCTACATTCAAACCAAAGGGTTCGAAATCAATTCCAACTGCAGCGGGGCAAGTAACCATCGATCGATTCGACGTCGGTTTCAAAACTGATGCTAGTAACGGCTTCGTTACTGTTTTGGAATCTCATCATAATTCAAAGGCACAATTGACCAGTTATGTAAAGAGTCACGTACCTAGATCCATCAACGTGGTTCAGCGATTCGATTGGAGTGCCTATTTCGAAACTCATCCAGGACGTTTCGTGCAGGAGCCTCACAAGCACCATCGAGTCTCTTTGCACAAGATGTACTACGCCGAGGACCAACAAGCATCTTTCGGAAAACAATTTCCGCAAAAAAATAAAGAAAACAAAGAGAAGGGACTGCTGCTGGATCGAGGACACTTGGCACCGAGGCGCGACATGATTTACGTACCAGAAGGACTCGCTACTTATACATACATCAACACGATTCCACAGTGGAATTTGATCAATCAACATAATTGGGAGATAATGGAGAGCTACGTTCGAAATATGGCGACGACTTTACACAAAGACTTGACCGTAATAACTGGTTCGTACAAACGATTGCATTACCCCGATGAGAAAACCCCCAAAATACCGAAGAACGTTTACTTGTATTACGACGATCACGGCCCGCAATTGCCGGTTCCAAGAGACACGTACAAGATCGTCATCGATCCAGACACCAAAAAAGGTCTCGTTTTTGTAACTTCGAACGATCCTTACTTGGCCAAGACGGACATAACTCCTCAATATCGACTCTGCACCGAAACCTTGAAATTGGACGATTTGGCGTTCAAAACGATAATCAAACACGGCTACAGCTACGCGTGCTCGGTTAAAGCATTTTTAGATAAAACTGGACTGCGTTATCTGTTCGGAGAAGAAGTGCTCAGTGTGAATGGAAATTTGAATGAAGCACACATAGTAAAACCTAGTTAGATTTCCGATTTTATGGCAGTTTTTTTTTATTAATTATTAGTAATAAATTATTTATAAGCAACGTAAAGAAATTCCATCTCACGCCGTAATATAAAACAGTATCTTTCAAAAAGTAATAATAGCGCTGATCATTGATCCATGTTATAACCTTTCATAAATATTGTCCATAAATAATGTTCCAAACATGAGTAATTTCTCTTTTCTAGTGCTATTCTTTAAGAGAAAGTGCTTTAGCGAATTTTTTATCCAGTGAATCCAGAGCATTGCTATTTTGTTTCTGATTTTCGTATTCAATGCAATAATTTTTCAATTCCTTTAAAGTAGTTCCATAACTTTTATTATATTCTGTCAAAATGTTTTGACGAATCAATTGAAAAATATTATATTTTATTTTGAATTGAAATGGACCACGAAAATCCTGAAATAATTAAGATACGTTTATTAATTTAAGAAATCAATTTAATCAATAAGTAAAAATGCGTCTGATTCTACCTTTAATTGAGGGTCAAGAGGATTTGTCTTTACAGCCTTTAAAAAATACTCGGCTGCTAGCTTTTTATCGTTGTTTTCAAATAAATAAATAAAAGCTAAATTAAGCAATATATTCACAGTATAACCTTTCCGGTTTTCGTATCTTTCCAGCATATTTTGAAGGTGTTTAATCGCATCTTCGTTATTCTTTGAGCTGTTTTTAATGAAATTAAAATAATCCATATCAGCAGGAAAATTACCTGTTTCACCGATAGCCTTTAAATAATTTTCTTTAACTTTCTGAAAAAAATTGCAACTCCTGTAATTAACTGGTTTGCCACATTAACGCACAGTGAATACGATTTTGACATGCAGCTTTATGTTTTTACCATGTTTTAACTTTTACGAGGAAATTGAAGAAAACTACTTTTGTTAATAACAATTTTTGAATCGTTTATCATTTGTTATGGGTTTAAAATTCATATTGGACGTGCTGTCGAGAGTTGCACTTCACGAAACTAGTAGTTTTCATAATTTTTCTCGTGTTGATTGAGCCATACGGTAATAGCGAGCAATTACATAATAAACCGTGTTCTTGAGCGTCAATATATTAATTTCTAAACACTTACTAGTTTATTTCCAGTTTTTTCGTAATATTTTCCCAAATAATGATAGTAAGTTTTCGATCTTTTCTCTGCAGGTAATAACCTTTCAATGTAATCCAAACAGTTTTTGGCCTTAACAAAATCCTTGGAATTCATGAAACATAAGGCAAGGATAAGTCTCACTTTTATATTAGTCGGCCCTCTTCTGTAAATTTCATTGTATATTTCTGAGCATTTTTTCCAATTTCTACTTTCTTTGTACATTCTTGCAGCAGACATGCCGTAATGATCAGATGGTGATAGCTTGTAACACATCAAGAATTCATTTTGTTCTTCTCGAGAAACATTCCAAACACTATTTTGACGTCTTTTTTTTCGCAGACACTTAGCAATTACATAATGCCATACAGCGCAGTTTGGAGTACACGAAACAGCTAGTTTAGCTAATTTTACAGCTGAATTTAAAATATGTTCATTAAACAGTGCTAAAGCTAACGCCTGAGATCCAAACATTGTTCCTTTTTCAATATCAGAAGTGAAATCATTTGCATCTTTAATTTTTATCTCCAGAGCTTTTGCTTGATCTTTTTTTCCAGCCGATAAAAAAATGCAATATGCTGTGGTATCTTTTATGTGCATTAATACGTCGACTGATAAATCCTTATCTTTTGAGATACTATAAAAATGAAAATAAAAATTAGTTTTATATATAAATAAACTTTCAAATCATTTTATGTTATAACCTTTCAGAAATATTTTTCCAAAGATCATTGATTTCTTTAATTAATTTTTCAGCGCCATCGATTTTCCCTTGCGCACATCGAATGTATGCAAATGTATTCATTTCGACAAAGCGCGTGATAGATGATTCTTCATAATCTGCCAAAACTATATCTTCTTCATTAAAATCACGAACTTGCTTTTGATCTAATTTCCAAGTAAATGGGCTTTCTATCTTCAGCCCTTTGGGTAATAATGCAAGAATGTCCATTGTACTTCGTTCTAAAAAAGGAAGGTTTTCAAAAAAAAAAAAACATAAATAAATAAATTTCATAATTACAGTTTTCAAATGTAAATTTCTTTCAATTACGTCTCATTAATTCAGTACTTTATATTCAGCTTACATTGATTTAAAAATTATTTTCATTAAAAGTTGAAAAAATGAAATACAAATATGCAGGTTTGACAAATTTTCATGTTTTATTTTCGATTAGAGGTTAATTATTGACGATCGTCATATTACATGAGTATTAATGCAGTATTAACTAATTTCTAAAAATGTGCACAAATTAAAATTTTGATTCTTAAAACTTCACTATAATAGCTTTTATTTGATTTAAATACGTAGAGCACAAGCTTATAATACTTACCAATAAAAGTATTCAAACACTGAATTTAATTAATATAATTTTTTTATAAAACTCGATAAGAAGCAAATTATAGTCGGTCGCAAGAAAATAAGTGTCAAACCCTCTGTGAGACTAGCTGCATCAAGATCCACCACGTATTTAATACGCAATCACAAAGAAGTTTATCGGGTAAAGAATGAACGATCTTGAATCGTTCCCAACAGCCTACTGAATCGCCGATACAAACATTGGCATATGTCATATAAACGTGAATCCCCGAGCGCTCGGGTGTGACGCGGGGATTCACTCGGCCGACTGCATCGAGCGCAAATGACTCACACTATATTATACTTCTCGATGTATAGTATCGATCACTTTGCTTATTGACTTATTTTATCGTTTAGAATTGCTAACAAATTTTCACCCATAGCAGACCATAGGAGCAGACCATAGCTGGAAATCTGAATAATTTTAGAAACGAAAAAAATAACCAACGATTAGAGCAAAAAGAGCCATTAATATTTGTCATTAAAATGTATAAAGCAGTTTGGGGAGATAGAGCATTGGCTCAAAAATGTGTAAAGGCTAATTAAAAAAGAACTGCCGATTGGCAAGTTAACTTATACAAAAAAACTACTATAAAGGTTTATTATTCCAATATGCTCAATTTTTATTATTCTAGTGATTCGTTAATAAGTTACACAAGAAAATTTAATGATTATGCAAACTAACTTTAAATGACTCATTAAATTTGTTATTTTTTAGAAAGTATTACTCAATCATAATTATAAAAAAGATTTGTTTATTTGAAAATAATAGGGATTTATGCCTATGAAAAGATTTGTTCTTAGCTTAAACTTAAATTACTGGTATCGTTTTAGTCTGATCATTGTTCGTTCATTTATGAAACTCATGAAAGTCAAAGTGATTACGCATGCGAAAACTGCAAGAAAAAATTTGGATCAAAAAAGGATTTGCTCAGGCACCAAAAGACAGTCCATGAAGGTCGAAAAGATTACGCATGCGATTGGTGCGAGAGGAAATATAGTCAAAAAACGTATTGCTTTCACACATAACAACGGTTCATAAGGGTCGGAAAGATTATGCGATAAGTGCGAGAAGAAATTTGGATAAAAATTTTATTTGATCAGACACCAAAAATTCATGAGGGTCACATAGATATCTCGTGTAACTGGTGCGAGGAGAAGTTTAGAAAAATACCGCAATTACCAAAAAAACAGTATTCAAAGGTTGCAAAAGATTATACGCATGCGACCAGTGCGAGAAGAAATTTAAACAAAAACACGTCATGAATTGTGAGAACAAATGATTATTGATATCAACTATCATTACATCTTTGTTCACTTTCGTGATGTTTTATTATTCAACTAGATTCCTCGTTCTATACTTACTAAGAACTACTCTCTGTTCAATTTTTTGGGAACTCAGTTCTTAGCTCTTCGTTCAACTATCAGCCCATAGATTTTTTTTCGCGTATTCTATGGAGCTGTGAATGGGGCGAGTATTTAGTTAGCTACTGGCTTTTTGATAAACCTCATGTAATGATATGTAAGCTTGAATTTATCAAGCATGATTTAGTTAAAGATTTTGATGAGCTAATGCATTGAATGAAAATCAATTGCATTTCTAACATGTTCCAATAAACAAAAATTGAACGAAACTAATTTTGTGTAGTTATGTCAAGTACACTCACCTATAGTACTCTGATAAAAAAAAAGAAAACAAAGATATCCTGCAGGATAATTATCTGTAATCACTTTATACTTATGCGTTGCGGTATACCAAGAAGTGTCGTCTACAGCATAGAGTAAATGTTTTTTAATTACTTCAAGTGGTTTTGACGTTATGGAAGCGGGGTTCGATCAGCTCAAATGCAAATATCATTGTTGTCGGCGGTGTCAAACTTATGTGCGATTTCACCTCCCTATAGTTACGTTAACGGCAAATCCCGGTTCTATGCTATCGGTTCATTGTCTGTTCGTTGATTTGTATGGCTTCAAGTTTACGAATATGAGTCAAAAATAACTTTTCTAAAAAGTCACACTCGTACCCGCACGCGATGTAAAGATGCTTATTGTGGACTATCTCATCAGACTCGTTATCTTTTTTTCTATAATTTAACATTCAGACAACTTCTTCAGATTATTGATGACATAATCCATTTGTATAATTGATATGTTTATAATCACTTTTATCATATAGTACTTAAAATAAATATAAAAAGTTTATTTGTATGAAATTAACAGTGTTTATTGCGTTAAAAGGTACAAACAATTTTAGGTTCTTAAAACAACTTATTTGCTATAAAAACAATTCTCGATGTGACATTACAATTACACGACTATAGCACTGAACACTCAGAACTTTCATACAATTCGAAATTATAAGCTATGCAAACACATCCGATATAGTACGCTTTCAAGTCAATTTTTAAAACAGGCTTTTTTAATTAATAAGCCTTTGAAGTACTACATCTACTTAAAAATAAACACATTTAAAATACGACAAAAAACTTGAACTGAAAGAAAGATATAGAAGAATGTAATTTTTACATTTACGGAAATAATTCTTGTTGATAATTTTAGTCATCAAGGTATCTTTTTACCTAAAATCTAATTGACAGAAAAATGAACAGGTTTTTGTAATGAAAAATATAATAATCCTTTCTGCTTCAAATTCAAAGCTATTATGTTTTTAGCTTAGCAATTCTCTTTTCTAGGTCATTCTTTAAGAGACATTGTTTTGGCGAATGCTTTAACGAATTCCGTGTCCAGTGAATCTAGAGAATTTATCAATTTCTTCGGATTTTCGTATTCAGTACAATGTCTTTTCAATTCTTTCAAAGTATCTCCATAATCGTTTTCATTTTCAATCAGAATATTTTGACGGATGACTTGAAAAACATTGTAATTTATTTTAGGGTCGAAAGCTGTATGGAATTTCTGAAATAAATATGATGTTTAGAAATTAAGAAAATCAATTTAATCAGTGAGTTGAAGTACTTTTGATTTTACCTTTAATTGCGGATTACGAGGATTTATCTTTAGAGCCTTTAAAAAGTTATCAGCTGCTAGCTTCAAATCTTTGTTTTTGAATAAATAAATAAAGGCTAAATTAAGAAGTATACTTAAAGAGCGATCTTTGTGATCATCATATCTTTTCAACATATTTTCAAGATGTTCAATGACCTCAGAGTTATTCTTCGAGTTTGAAGTATTTTTAATCAATTTTAAATGATCCATATCAGCAGAAAAATTACCTGTGTGATCACCGAGTGCTTTTATATAGTTTTCTTTAGCTTCCTAAAATGATGAAAAATCTCATAATTTGTTATTAATTGATTTAATTTATAAATACTTACTGAATAATTTCCAGTTTTATCATAATATTTTCCCAGATAATGATAGTAAGTCTTGGACCTTTTTTCTGGCGGTAATAAATTTTTAATGTAATCCAAACAATTTTTGGCTTTGACGAAATCCTTGGTATTCATGAAACATAAAGCAAGAACTAATCTCACTTTTATGTTAGAGGGATTTCTGCTGTAAATTTCATTGTGTATTTCTAAGCTTTTTTTCCAATCTCTACTTTCTTTGTACATTCTTGCAAGTGAGATGCCATAATGATCAGATGGTGATAATTTGTAGCATAACAAAAATTCATTCCTTTCTTCTATAGAAACATCCAAACCATTATTTTGACATCTTTTTTTTCGCAGACACTTAGCAATTACGTAATGCCATACAGCACACTTGGGGGCATATGTAACAGCTAGTTTGGCTGATTTCAAGGCTAAATCCAAACCACTTTCATTAAATAGGGCTGAAGCTAATGCCTGACATCCAAATATTGTGGCTTTTTCAACATCCGATGTAAAATTATCTGCACCTTTCATTTCCATATTTTTTGCTTGGTCTTTTTTCCCAGCCGATAAATATATGCAATATGCTGTTGCATCTTTTATGTGCTTTAGCACGTCAACCGAATAATATTTCTTTTCTGATGCACTATAACAATAGAAAATCAAAAATTAGTTATTTTTATAAATAAACCTTCAAATCATTCTATGTTGTAACCTTTCATAAATATTTTTCCAAAGATCATTGATTTCTTCTATCAATTTTTCAGCGCCATCAGTGTTTCCTTGCGCACATCGAATATATGCAAATGTATTCATTTCAACAAAGCGTGTGATAGGTGATTCTTCATAATCGGCTAAGACTGTGTCTTCTTCATTGAAAATATCAACCTGGCTTTTATCTAATCCCCAAGTAAATGGAGTTTCTATCTTTAGCCCTTCGGGTAACAATTCAAAAATGTTCATTGCACTTTGTTCTGAATAGAAAAGGTTTTCAATGAAATTATTACATACAACAGCTTTTGAATAAATTTTTTTCAATTCTAACTTGTTCATCCTGTACTTCATATTGATGCAGTAATTATTGTTATTCAAAGTTGGAGAGCATAAATACGGAGCAGGTTTTATAAATTGTAATGTGTTCAAGTATTAAATTTAATATTACGCTCTCAAGAAAAATCAATTACATAAATATCACATAATACGTGCAAGCACAGTCTAACTTTAATTCTTAAAAAATGAATGTGAATTTAAATTTGGATGCTGCGAATTTCGCCATTGTGGATTTTATGATCCGATTTCAATTACGTGGTGTACAAGTCAACAAAACTTACCGATAAAAATATCCGAAGGCCGAGTTCAATTTATTTTATTTTTTTATAAAATCTCGATGAACCGTGAATGGTCAGTCGTGATATCGGCAGACCCTCAATGAATGTTGCTGCACCAAGATCCACCACGTATCTGATTCTGATATGTATCGCCGAGAGCTTCGTCGATCGTAATAAGTGAACGTTCCTCAATTGTTTCCAACAGCCTACTGAAATGCGCAGGCGAATGGCATTTTCGCAGGGTGAATCCCTGCACCGAGCTCGGGATTCACACAGCGACGAGCACCGAGCGGCGAGCTAGGGATTCACACAGCAGCTAGCGCTACAATTCAATTCAGTGGGCGTTTTCGTATACTACACCGCGTGAGTGCTGTTTCGCTTGTTTGTAGCGCTTGTCGACTTATATTTACTACGAGAGAAATAAATGTTCAAGCACCTACCAATTGAAACCGATGAAAATTTTGAGATTGAAAAAATTACGTGCGATGGAACAGCCGAAAAATAAAATGAAATATAAATACCAGGGGTTGGAAAAATTGGACTTAACAACATTTTTTCAAAATTATAAAAAGAAAAGTATACAATTGAAATTTCACAATAATCGAAAAGTTATCTAATGAAAATTTGAGAGGAATCGAATTATTAAAATTTTTTTGCAAAATTCGTAAAAGTTCAGATATTTCTGTCTATAACTTTGGTTTCGTGGTATGATTGAAATGTCAAGTAAAAATAAACATTGAATGATTCATGAGCGCGTGAATTATCACCGTAGTATAGGCATTACACTTTTTCTGTCACGTTCAATCATCTTACGTATGAAAATCGACGTATATTTAAACTACCGTTTTCATTCTGGCAACCATAGTCGTGCTAAAACATCCATAGTAGAATAATACACAATCAAGCGTGACAGTCTAGTTTTAGTTTAACTTAAAAATTTTAAGTAGCTGTATGCTAGTTCGTTATCGTTTTAAATCGACTTGAACTTTAACTGCATCAACTGAAGTTAATAATAACTTTTTTTGAAAATTAATGAGCACTCATGCCCGGGCGCGATGTAGAGATGTGCTCTGAATTATCTAATTGTTAACTCTTTTTCCTTTCCTCATAGAAGAAACATTTTTTTATAAATTTTAGGGTTTTATTCTCAAAATTACGAAAAAAAGTTTTTTTCGATTTCTTTCTGTACTAAAGAACTATTTTTCTACATTTTTCTATAGTCATTATTATTACATCAGAGTAGACAGCTTTAATTTAAGACCAAAAACGTACGACCAAAAAAATATAATATTTAAATTATGGGAAAATTATGACTTACAGAATGAAAAAAATAATTTTGCCACAGATACATTTTGGATGTGCACGAATAAAATAAAACAAGTGATGTAACGTACTATTTTGTTTGTTAATTCAAAAGCCTGAGTTGGCACAGTACAATGCCGTGGTAAGCGGCCACTATTGCCATCAGATTGTAAGTCCCATCAAATCTATGATAGAACATTGCTGTTCAATTAGTACTTGATACCACTGGCCACGTTATATCGTCAGTATAGGCCAGTTAATGAGCCGTCTTTCAACGGTATACATTGCCGAGTAAATCTCGTTGGTTCTTTTTCTATGAAAAAATCAACTATGAACAATATAGACTAAATGAAGTCATATTAAAAATTGGCTCACACATGCAATAATAGTGGTAGCATTTTTCATTGTGGTGTGACTGTCTACACGTATTTGCACGAAAATATGTAGCATCTCTAACTAATCGGCACGGATAACAAACCTGCGTGTTAGGAAGGAAGGGGCGAGTTTTATGTTTTTGTTTCAATTTATTTGAGCCTTTAAAAAATTGTAGCAACGAGCTAGGCCTGTACATTACTTAAAAACGACGAGGTCGTCAAAGTAGAATTTCATGTAAAGAACTGCCGTGCACAATATGAAATTGTAAGTCATACAAACACATCCGACATAGTATGCACATTAAATTAATTTTTAAAACAGGCTTTTTTAATTAATGAGCCTTTTAAATACTACACATAAATGAAAATAGAACTTATTTAAGAAGCAAAAAATAAATTGAATTGAATGAGCGTCATTGCTCTAAAATCCAAAAATGTAATTTTTAGGTTTGTGGATATAACTTGTCTTAATCTCTAGACGACCTTAATTTCAGAGGTCACATCATCCATATACAAAACTGGTATAAAAATCATCGATCAATCATAGGTTCAGTAGCGATCAGAGCTGCGCCAATATATTGGCTTTTTGGCCCTCTAAAGGTTGAGGGGACACACCTGTGTGAATTTTGTTAAATTAAGGAGATATAGAAGCCAGCCAAAATATCAAAACTTCAATCCAGTTTTTTGAAACTTCTCCTGAATATTTCTCGGAAAAGCTCTATGGCGATCTTCGTTTTGATGTTCTTAAGGTCGCCATAGAGATGAATTTTCGAGAAATATTCAACAGAAATTTCAAAAAACTGCAAAGAAATTTTGATTTTTCGGCTAGCTTCTATATCCCCTTAAAAAACATGAAAATTAGATATTAATTTTGACACAAGTGTCCCCTTAATAATTTCGGTTATCAAAGTATTTTTTCATCTTGAAAGCGAATAGTTTCTTGTTGTTGAAGTTATAAGCACCCGTAATTGTTCAAATTCAAAGTTATTATGTTTTGAGTTATGAATTTCTCTTTTCTAATCTAATTCTTTAAGAGATTAAGAGAACGTGCTTTACCGAATTTAATGTTCAGCGAATCCAGAACATTGCTATTTTGTTTCCGATTTTCGTATTCAATACAATAATTTTTCAATTCCTTCAAAGTAGTTCCATAACTTTTTTCATTTCCTGTCAAGAGGTATTTACGAATCAATTCAAAAGAGTTAAATTTGGTTTTAACTTCAAAAGGTCTACGAAATTCCTGAAATCATTACGATATTTATAAATTAAGAAAATCAACTCAATCAATAAGTTAAAATGCTTACGATTTTACCTCTAATTGTTGGTGAAGAGGATTTGTCTTTACAGCCTTTAAAAAATACTCGGCTGCTAGCTTTTTATCGTTGTTATCAAATAAATAAATAAAGGCTAAACTAAGTAATATATGCAAAGTATAACCTTCTCGATTTTCGTATCTTTCCAGCATATTTTGAAGGTGTTTAATCGCATCATCGTTATTCTTTGAGTTTCGTTTAATGAAATTAAAATAATCCATATCTGCAGGAAAATTACCGGTTTCACCGATAGCCTTTAAATAGTTTTCTTTAGCTTTCTGAAAAAAATCCCAAAGCTTGATATTAATTAACGCTCAGAGGTCACGATTTTAACATACATCTTTCCGCTATTACCATGTTTAAACTAAACGAAAAAGAATTATGAAAACTACTAAGTTTTATGTTTATGAGGGTTTATTTTCCAATAGTTTTGTTTAAAATTAAAATACAAAAAAACGGGTTTTTACCGTCTATTTTTTTTTATGACAAATTTTAAATCGTTAATCTTTTTGTAGAGTTCTAAAATGCATAACGAACGTGTTCTCGAGGTTTGTACTTTACCATACCGTGGCCATTACAAAGAGACGGCTGGAGCGAAAAGAGTGATTTTCAAGTTTCACTATTTTTTTATCTTAAAAATTATCGAGCTTGAAGGAAAAATTTATGGAACAAAAAAGTATAAACTTCGAGGATACGTTCTACACGCAGTTAATTCTATTAAAAAAATAATGACGAATTCAAAAATTAGAATGAAAAATAATTTTATCGTGAAATCTCATTTTTTCGAATAAATATATAATTTTATGGTAAATTTTTAATTTAAACAATTTTATACATAGCCATGGAAAAGAATACCCTTATAAACATAAGATCTACTAATTTTTATCATTTTTCTCGTTTCAATTGAGCAGCTATACGATAATAGTGGACAATTGCATGTCAAAATTGTGTCCTTGAGCTTTAAGGGTTAATTTCTAAATACTTACTAAATCATTTCCTTTTTTTTCGTGATATTTTGCCAAATAATGATAGTAAGTTTTCGATCTTTTCTCTGCAGGTAAATTTGCAATGTAATCCAAACAATTTTTGGCCTTAACAAAATCCTTGGAATTTATGAAACATAAGGCAAGAAATAATCTCACGTATATGCAAGTGGGCCCTCTTCTGTAAATTTCATTCTGTATTTCTGAGCATTTTTTCCAATTTCTACTTTCTTTGTACATTCTTGCAGCAGCCATGCTGTGAAGATCAGATGGTGATAGCTTGTAACACATCAAGAATTCGTTTTGTTCTTCTTGAGAAACATACCAAACATTATTTTGACGTCTTTTTTTTCGCAAACACTTGGCAATTACAAAGTGCCACAATACACATTTAGGAGCATATGAAACAGCTAGTTTAGCCGATTTTAAAGCTGAATCTAAAATATTTTCATAAAAAAGGACATAAGCTGACGCCTGAGATCCAAATATTGTTCCTTTTTCAATATCAGAAGTGAAATCATTTGCATCTTTAATTTTTATCTCCAGAGCTTTTGCTTGATCGTTTTTCCCAGCCGATAAATATATGCAATATGCTGTCGCATTTTTTATATGTATTAGTACATCGACTGAATAATTCTCATCTTTTGAAACACTATAACAATGAAAATTAAAAATTTAGTTTTGTAAAATAAACCTTTAAATAATTCAATATTATAACCTTTCATAAATATTTTTCCAAAGATCACTAATTTCTTTAACTAATTTTTCAGCTTCATCAATTTTTCCTTGCAAACATAGAATGTAGGCAAATGTATTCATTTCAAGAAAGCGTGTGATAGGTGATTCGTCATAATCAGCTATAATGAAATCTTCTTTATTCACATTATGAACTTGTTTTTGATCCAATTCCCAAGTAAATGGACTTTCTATTTTCAGCCCTTTAGGTAATAATTTAAGGATATCCATTGCACTTCGTTCTTAAAGAGAAAGCTATCAAATAAAAAAATACATAAATTCCATAATTACAGTTTCCAAATAATAAATTTGTTTCAATTACGAGTCATTAATTCAGTACTTTATTATATCGAGCTTACGTTGATCTAGAAATTATTTTTATTCAAAGTTGAAGAAATTGAATACAAATAAAAAATCAGATTTGATAAATGGCAATTTTGATTGAGATTAAGTAAAAAATACTTACCAATAAAAGTACTCAAACGCTAAGCTTAAATAATTTGATTTTAATAAAAGCCTGATGAGAAGTGAATTATAAGTGTCAATCCCTTTGTGAGATTTGTCACACTAAGGTTCAGCTCGCGTATCCACTACCAATCACAAAGAACTGTATCGGGTAAAGAATGAACGATCTTTAATCGTTTCCAACAGTCAACTGAGTCGTTAATGAAAACTTTGGCATATTTCATATTAGTGTGAATACCTGAGCGCTCAGGCGCGGCGCAGGGAATCACACAGCAGCGCTATCAAAAATGACTCATACTAAAGTGGTTAAAAACTGTGAGTTTTATACATGGATCAAAATAATACTTTTTTAAATTTTCGTCACCGACCTTGACGCGCTTTTGGTATGTTATTGTACATGATAAAAAGTGCTAAACCCAAAATTTGGGATCCCCTACCCCCTCCTCCCGTATAAACGTCCATTTTCTAGCTATACTTTTTCTGAAGGGTTGAAGCAAAAATTCACAAAAATACTTATCAACAATCCAAATGACCTAGAATTTTTTCAGATTTTTTGGGTGCTTCAGGCCTTTAGAAAAAATCATTGAAAATTCATATATGGCGTTAGAATACCATAATTTTTTCGAAAATTTTTTCACTTTTATATTTCATTAAAAAAAGTAGCCTAAAATTTTTTCAGATATGTGAACACACCTTTTGAAGCCAAAAACCGCTTTTTTGACGAAAATAATTCTAGAAAAATGATCTAGAAAAATTTTTTTCTTGTTTTTTTCATCAAAAAACATAACTTCAAATTTTTTCAGATTTTTTAATTGAAGGCGATAGCTTTTAGGGCCGAAAAATGCTATATTTAACAAAAAAATGTTCCTAGAACGCGATGGTTCCGGTAAAAAAATTTGAAAATATTTTTCTTGAATTCCTTCTCAAATTTAAATAAATTTTGACCACTTCAAGTTTCCGATTGAAACCTCCTAGCTCAATTTAGAGCAGGACAAAGATTAATGCAAAATTCTGAAGACGTTTCTGAATACACATTAAGAAATGATAAATCTTTGTTCTGCTCTAGGTATATAATATATGGCCTAATAAAAAAATCGCCCAAGAAAGTCTATTGATGATAATGTATTTTGAAAAATTCGACATTTTGAGCACTTCTACCAGGTGAAATGACAATTTAATTGTTACAAAAAGTTAAGACCGGTTTTTAGCCAATTTGATACGATACTACAATTTCAAGCATTCCCCACTAGATGGCGAGTGCTTTCACCTGTGAACCTGCAAGTGGTTAGGTAAAAATAATTGTATAAGTCAAGTCACATTAAAATCCTTAGAAGTTTCATTTTTATGAGCTTTATGAAAATAGTATATTATTGCCCTAGGCCGGGAAAATAGAAAAACAGGTGCTAATCGACCTCGGCTTCGCTTCTGTCGCTTATTTTACGTACTCTGGGACTTTCTTTTTTTCCCGGTATAGGCCGGTATGCTATTTTTCATACCAGCAGGCCGAAAGTGACTACTTCCCTGCCGCTGCGAAAATCGCTGTGTATGAAACATAGTATACAGGCCTATGCCGCGAAAAAGAAAGCCCCAGAGCACGTATTTATCGGCCTCGTTTTCGCCTTGGCCACTAATTACACGTACTTTGGTACTTTTCTGTTTTTTGCGGGCTAGGGCAGTAATATATATACTATCTCAAAGTGTACACTTACTTTAAATATCGATACTTCAATCATTCTAAATTGAGGTTTGTTGAATTTATGAAATATCAGTTTGATTTTTCATCTACTTAATAAAAAGCATTTGGACTGGTTGTCAATCCTGTTATCGTGTCAATGCGACCCCCGCTACGCTCCGACAGTAAAATTAACGCTCGTACAAAATAGACAATCTCCCACGCATGTTGCGTAATGTGAGCTACTTTATCACTTTTCGATATTTTATTCCTATTTTCGCAAAAATAACGTATCAACCATGAGATATTGATATAATTTAATGAAAATTGTTCGTATCGTTTAATTCATAAATTATACAGTTTTATCCCTTGCTAAAAAATTGACGTATACATTTAAGAAACATTAGTCTCGTTTCAATAACTGCGCAATAGTAGAATTAGTGGTGACGCAAATTAACCCATTAACGCGCAAAAGTGCAATTTTGTGCATGAATTTTCCGTTGTAAAAAAATTATAGATAAAGTTAAAATATTTTCTTGAAAATCCATACCCAGGGGTTTTTGAGTATGCTCTTTCAGTATCCGGTGTTATTTTTGCGATAAATAAACATTATCATCGTTTATTTTGCCATTAAAAACAAAAAACGTGATTTTTTGACTCAAAAATTTTTTTCAAAGTCGATTTTCTACCTTGCCTTGCCTTCGGAGGGTTCCCATAACACCAGAAATCGTGCACTTTTTCTCTGAACCTTCGAAAAATGAGCTGCCGCGATTTTTATCTAGCCACTATATTTCTAAAATGGCGAATTTATACCGAGCAGCAATATGAAAATTGCCTCATTTTTTATTTGTAAATTATTGACTTTATAAAAGAAAGTCATGCAATGAAAAGTGTTCAAATTTGTTCAACGAATACCTGTGATTTTTTTTAGAATTTTTTAATAATTTTTTCAGAATTTTTCAGATTTTTTTTGGAACATTTTGAGATTTTTCCAACAAGCCGGGAAATGGTCGTATTTTGCATAATTTTCAGTGGTCTGAAAAATTCTGAAAAAATTCACACGTATTCTCTAAACGATTTCAAATAAGTTTTTACACTCCAAATTGTACTTTTGAGTTCATATTTAGCGCATGTAAAATAGGTTCTAAGTAAAAAATGAGTGAATTTTTATACCACTGCTCGGTATAAATTCTCCATTTTAGAAATATAGGGGCTAGATAAAAATCGCGGCAGCGCATTTTTCGAAGGTTCAGAGAAAAAGTGCACGATTTCTGGTGTTATGGGAACCCTCCGAAGGCAAGGCAAGGTAGAAAATCGACTTTGAAAAAAATTTTTGAGTCGAAAAATCACGTTTTTCGTGTTTAATGGCAAAATAAACGATGATAATGTTTATTTATCGCAAAAATAACACCGGATACTGAAAGAGCATACTCAAAAACCCCTGGGTGTGGATTTTCAATAAAATATTTTAACTTTATCTATAATTTTTTTACAACGGAAAATTCATGCACAAAATTGCACTTTTGCGCGTTAATGGGTTAACCAAGCCAATTTTTTTCAGCTCATGAATGTATGTCAATAAGAAAATTAAAATTAAAATTCAATACAATAGTGCGCTTGTCGGCTCTTAGTGAACAATTGAATATGTTATACAGCAAGATAGATTCGATATTCTAATTTTTTGGCCTACGGCCGAGCCCCAATCTGTATAATGCTCATTATACGCATCGGTAGCATATAGATGAAACTTGCCCAGACGTGCAGGCTCGTTATTATATGCAAAAGCTTGCCCGGAACAGTGTGTGGCTTTCACCTAATAAGATAAGTTCGTGTCTGTCGATTCATATGAACTTAATGTGCGCCCATAATTTCTGCTTGCAAACATCGGATTATTGTAGGTCCATATATTTGCAGAGGAGCAATGCTAGAGGGATACAGAAATTTGTCCATATCTGATTTCAAATAATTTATCCTTATTGCAGCAACTTGATATGAATATGTTTAAAGTAGAGAGGTGAAATAATTCAAATGTAACTTATACTTGGTTATTTAAAAAAAAATTCTAGCATAAGTGTTTTTTTCTTTTCTAACCATTTTAGTGGGAAACGTAATATTTTATTTTGTCTAAAAAAGATGTTCAAATGTGTTTAGGTTACTTAGCTTGTAAATAGAATATTTATTTTATGGCTAATCGCTAAACTTCTTTGAAAATTAATACCTCTTCGGAAATGTATTATGTTCGAAATAAACTTATATTGACTTAAGCTAACTTATACCCAGTTCTATAAGTAGCACCTACTATGCGTGTTCACCACTTTTATACTTTGATTCACAAATGTTTTCAAGTATTTAGTGTGTTTCAAGTCATAAAGTTTATATCAATAAGCTATAAGGAAGGGTTCCTAACTCTTAATCTCTATGTAAATGAACTCTACAGCGCATCACTATCAACTGCCTAAAAAACTCAATCACTTTCTTATAAAGCCATAATTATGAGCTCGTACTTGGTATCACTCACTCAGCTATCAAATCAATTTTGGGTGTAAGTTCACTTATCATACTTAATTTACCTTTCGATGACAGGAATAATCCGATAAAATTGAGTTTTCCAACTGCTACGCACGTATATAGATATCTCGCACAGCTGATCCAAGCAGAGCATTTGATAAATTTCGTGTTTTCGCCCGGCGATAAGAAGTTTATTCAAGTGATTTTCAAGTGCCACGCGTGCGCCGCTCCTACATAAATGGAATACGCTCGGTTATACATATACATCAGTAAGGTATCAAACAGAGGGTCTGCATTGCAAAAATAGGGGAGTGTCGCGTGCAAAATAAACGCAGTTCTGCTCAATGCTACTTCTGCTGCTGCTGCTGAATACTGCAAGAAGAAAAAAGATAAGGTATTATGCGAGTTCTCAAGGGAACGCGGTGAAGATAGTGAACCCATCGATCTTGAGGGGCTAGCCATCATGGCGTGTAATCATTCTCAAAATTGCCATGCGAAATAGACATCGCAGCATTGATTCCTACCCTTATTACAGCCCTACTTTGTGACTGAGTATGTATTTTACTTTTCAAAAACACCAGATGTTATAAAACGTCGGTACATGGAGAATATCTCATTCATCTTTTAAAAAATCTTTATTGAATCTATTCGTTTTGACTTTATAAAAGTAATTATTGCATAGAAATAATTTATTATTCAGACAACCCCCATTACAGATTTCTGTTCACGTGGAAGATTAAACAACTATAATATTTGATTAAAAAAAACTCTAAAGGTAGTGACAATTCCCCCACTGCAATAGTGTATTTAATGATCAAAGAATATTATTTCGCAATAATAGCTCAACTTCGATCTACTGCTTTATACTCAGAAAATAAATTCGTAAATTTTTTGTGAATTCGAATGTCCAAAAAGGAAATTTTCTCAATTAAATCAAGAGATAGTCTTCACAAGCTTTAGTAATTAACTGAACTATTTCAACATTATG